AGATTACTATGGGTAGGAGAGAAAGGGAATGGGAAAGGTTTTGTTTAGGGGGCATTGAGTTTATGCTGATAGGTTAATAGGTGGTAGAATATTTTGGAAAAGGATAGCAATAATGGTGGCACAACATGAAAAATGTCATCAATGTCCCTGAGCTGTAAATGTGGAAGTTGTTATGTTAGCGAATGTCTTGTGGTGTATGTTTTCACCACAATAAGAGTGAAAATATTAGTTCAAGTGGAAGCCGAAGAAAATTAAAACAAGTCCACAGGAGCCAAAATACGACCTTGATTATATCCTACCTGAATTTAGTGACCATCTGAAGAATAGATTCAGCACATTAAGAACCAATGATTGAAGACCAGACAAGGTGTGGGATGACATCAAGAGCATCACACATGAAGAAAGCAAAAGGTCATTAAAAACAGGAAGGGAAAAGAAGACCTAAATGGGTGTAAGACGATACTCTGAAACTTGCTCTTTAACAGAGAGAAGCTAAAGCAAATGGAATAAATGCTGAAATAAAAGAACTGAACAGAAGATTTCAAAGGGTGGTTCTAAAAGACAAGTTATTATAATGAAATGTGCAAACACCTGCAGTTAGAAAACCAAAGTAGAGAACATATTCAGCATTTCTCAAGCTAACAGAATGGAAGAAAACATTCAAGTTTCAAGTTGCAATACGGATGGATTTTATGGGCAAATTATTGAATGATATAGGAAATGTCAAAAGAAGATGTACAGAATACACAGAATCAGTGTATCAAAAGAACTGGTTGGTTCTATTTCAGTAGGTTGCATATAATCAAGAACCAATGTTATGGAAGGAAGAAGTCCAAGCTGCAAAGAATTGGTGAAAAACAAGGCTCCAGGAACTGACAGAATACCCGGCAAGATGTTTCAACAAATAGATGCTGAGCTAGAGGCATTTACTCTTTTATGCCAAGAAAATTGGAAGACAGCTACCTAGCCAACTGACTGGAACAGATTGATATTTGTGTCCATTTCAAAGAAAGGTGATCCAACAGAATGTGGATATTATCAAGCAATATCATTAACATACAAGTAAAATTTTGTTGAAGATACTTTAAAAAGGTTTGCAGCCGTATATTGACAGGCAACTCCCTGAAATGCAAGCTGGATTCAGAGGAGGAAGTGGGACAAGGGATATCATTGCTGATGTCAGATGGATCATGGCTGAAAGCAAAGAATACTGGAAAAATGTCTACCTTTGTTCTATTTACTATGCAAAGGCATTTGACTGTGCAGGTCATAACAAATTATGGATAATATTGAGAAGAATGGGAATTCCAGAACACTTCATTGTTCTCATAGGAGCTCTGTTGGCATACTGCCTAAGGCATTTTACTGCTAACCAAAAGACTTGTGGTTCAAATCCACCAGCCACTCCTCAGAAGGAAGACTGTGCTATCTACTTCTGTAGAGATACCACCTGGGAAACCCAAGGAGAGGTTGCTATGAGTCAGATCCAACTCTATGGCAGTGAGTTTTTTAGAGTTTATGAAGAAGCCGTACATAGAGGCTGTCGTTCGATCAGAACAAGGAGATACTGCATGGTTTAAAATCAGGAAGGGCGTGTGTCAGGGTTGTATCTTATCACCATACTTATTCAATCTCTATGCTGAGCAGATGATCCAAGAAGCCAGACTGTATGAAAAATGTGTATCTGGATTGGAGGAAGAATAATTAAAAACCTGTGATAAGCAGATGACATAGCTTTGTTTGCTGAAAGTGAAGATGACTTGAAGCACTTACTCATGAAGATCAAAGACTACAGTGCTCAGTATGGGTTACCACTCAATAAAAAGAAAATAAAATCCTCACAACTGGACCAATAAGCAACAGCAAGATAAACAGAGAAAAGTTTTAAGTGGTCAGGGATTTCATTTTACTTACATCAACAGTCACCACCCAAGGAAGCAGCAGTTAGGAAATCAGACATCATATTGGACTGGGAAAATCTGCTGCAAAAGACCTCTTTAGAGTGTTAAAAATCAAAGATGTCACTTTAAAGACTAAGGTGCATCTAACTCAAGCCATGGTATTTTCAATAATGTTGTAATGAACATTGTTGTATAAGTCTGACTCTCTGCTTTCAATTTTTTTAAGTATATACCTAGAAGTGGAAAATAAACCCCCCCCAAAAAAAATGAGATAATAGTTACACACTGTTTTGGTTCTCTATTGCCACTCTAACAGAAAATACCACAAATATATGGCTTTAACAAACAGGAATTATTCTCTGGCAATTTAGGAGGCTAGAAGCCCGAGTTCAGAGTGCCAGCTCTAGTGGACGGGTGAAAGCCCCTTGCCCCTGGGCTTGAGCTCCGCCTCTTGCTCCTGGCCCACTAAAACTAGAAGCATCTCTTAACTTAGGCAACTGCTGGCTGCTGAGATTGACAAACCCAAGGTCGACAAGTAAAATGGCACAGCCCCAAGATTATCAAGCAATACAGCAGATCACTAGTTCAAGTCCATGCATAGTCCCAAGATTGGCAGACAACATGTTAGGCCTTTGAGATGAAGACTCGGCTACATGCAAAGTCCAAACACACCAATAAGCTCAGAGACCTTTCTCAAAGCTTCTTCTTATATACTGGAAGAGGATCACAACCCTAAGGGAGCTACTTAACTGCTCCAGTAAATACCACCATGGAGTTGATTACCAGTCTCATCATGGGGAATAACTACATCCAACTGACCAGCCACTGAAAATCAGGCCCAGCCAAGTTGACACACAACTTAACTCCCACTCACACCTACAACTATAGCTAAAATTTCAAAGATTGAGAATACTAAGTGCTGTCAAGGATGTGGAACAACTTTTGAGTTGCATTTTGAGTGTGTGAATTAAAACTAATATGACTATTTTAGCTACATAATTCTATAGTATACTTACATTGGAAAATATTTGGAACTTATTTCCAAAGTCAAACATACCATACCACACAACTTAGCCATTTCATTGATAGATATTTATCTAAGAAAAATGAAAACATATGTCTACACAAAGATTTGTACAGGAATGTTCATAGCAGCTTGATTCATAATAATAAAAAAATGGAAAAAACTATATGCCTATCAACAGGTAAATGGATAAATTATGCATAAATAGGATAATACTCAGCAATGAAAAGGAACACACAACATCAATAATACCAAGTCATTCCATGGAGTGAAATGAGGCTGACACAAAAGGGTGTGTACTATATGATACTACTTATATAAAATGCTAACTAATCTAGGGTGGCAGAAAGGCACAAGTGGCCTGCAGACTTGAATAAAGGAAGACATGGAGTGTGAAGATTCATGAGGAATATTTTGGAGGTGATGGAAGTATTTTGTATCTTGTTTATGGTAGTGACTCACAGGTGTATACAACTGTCAAAACTCATCAAATTATACTTTTAAATGGATGCAGTTAATTTTAATTAAATTATTCCTTAAGGAACTAGAAGAGGATAATTAAAAATAGTATCAGAAAAATAAAATTTTAACATACATAACATTAAAACAGCATCCTCACAAAAAAACAGAAAACAAAATGCGTACGAAAAAACCCATGACACTAAAAACTATGTTTTAAAATGAAACTCTTCCATTTAAGCAAAATCATCAGTAGAAATAAGACTGTTTTGTGATTTTACTACTATTGAAACCTCTTACTCACTTTGAGCACCAGAAGTCTCCTTCCCCAAAGCCTCACTGTCATACTCTTCAGCAAGCATCCTCCACCCACTCAACATTCACCACCCACACAACAGACCTGGCACAGACATGACTGTGCAAACCCATAGTCCATAAAGACTTCCTTTTTCAGTGATGAAAAGGGACTCTCACAAACAGCATATTGTTTTTCTGTGATGCTAAACAGTTATTATCTATTGTAAAATCTATGTTCTGCTAAAAAGACAAAAAAAAAAACCTTAGACATAGGGATTTCCCAATAAAAACCCCTGATTCAGTAACTGATCTCAACCAAAATAGAGTATGGATTATACCATAATTGAAAACAGTGTGTGTGTGTGTGTGTGTGTGTGTATATGTATGTGCATAATATAATGTATATATATAATGCTATGATTTGTTTATTATTTCTAATGTATAGGGTTGTTGTTGTTATGCGCCATCGAGTCAACAAAAAAGTTAAATATACCCCTCCCTTTCATTGATTCCCAGGTCTGTTGGGAGAATGCAAACAAAGCAGTAAGGAGTCTGACAATATCAGTTTTTAACTGAAAGAACCATTTATTAGGGGCAAAAATGTAGACTGAAAAATTTGGCTGTCATAAGATGACCATACAACTGCAGAAGAGAATAATATGGAATAAGTTTCTTTTGACTTTTTTATTTACATTTCTCTACATGATTTGGGGCTTCCATACTGCCATTGAGGAGCTCTGATAGCATAGTGCTTAAGGCACTTGACTGCTAACCAGAAGGCTGGTTGTTCAAACCCACCAGCCACTCCTCAGAAGGAAGGTTAGGCAACCTGCTTCCACAGTGACACTACCTCGGAAACCCAAGGAGAGGTCACTGTGAGTCGGGTCTGACTCAACGATACATAACAACACAACAACAACATGCTGGTATTGAGCTATCTAGAAGTCATTCTTATTACTTATTATGATCTTTACAACTTGACATCTTTATTTTTATTTATGTTTGTAATTTACTACCTTTTGAAAAAGGGAAATCTGTGAAAATTTGGAAATCTGTGAAAATATCCTGATGTTTCACATAAAGAAACCACACAGAGAGCTGTTTCACTCTTCTTGTGGTGTTTCAAGAGCTCAGACTTCAAAACTTCCCACGTTATAATGAATGTAGAGCTGAACTATTACAGATTGGCCTGAAAATACAGGGGATATGAAGTTTTTACTACTTACACTGTTCCCCCTTTTCTGAATCTTTTTAGATAATTAGATAAATTTATATGGTCTGTGTTTCTCCTCTGGAAAATATGAACAATCATTCTTACTTATGTTACAAATAAGGAATATTTCATGAATAACTCAAAGCACTACTAGCTAAAGAACTAACTCCTGTTAGAATTTAAGTAGTAGAATTCTCTTAAAGATTCAAGGTTTCATTTAAAACAAATGCAATTTTGCAACTGAGATCTTAATCACATAAAGTTCAGGATTAAACCTACTTAACCAGAGAAACCTTTATTTAGTTATACTAAAAACAGACTTGCTTTCATCAGTATGGTAAGTAAAGTCAAGACAATACAGAAACAAACATTTACTATGAATCTCCTGGCTCAAGAAAGCTTAAAATATCAACTTTAACCTTTTAGCTAATGAAATGTTTGCACTGCTTTTTATAAAATAGAAAATTGTAGATACAGGTGAGACATGCAACAGATTTTGTAGTTATGAATGGATCCAAGTAAGAAGTTGTAGAATTCAATTGCCTCCTTTCTTAGAGGTCCTGAAAATAAGATGGATCGTCATTGACATTTGTTAATTACATTTCTGCTCTCATGTAGTAGTTTTCACAGTGTAATCTGGGGACTAGTAGTCCAAGATTGCCAGCTAGAAATTCTATGAACTTTGTAACTTTTGCAGGAGGGAAGCTAAATTTCAATTTTATTTTTTTATCTATAATTAAAAACAATATCACTTGTAAGTACAATTACCACAATTGTAGGTGCAATTGAAAGCATCACTGGTTTCTCCCCATATTCTGTTATATCTAAATAGCAAACAGGAATGTTTGGAATAAGAGACCCATATGATCTTTTTCTCTACTAAAGTAAACTAATGCATTAATTTTATGATAAATTTTGGAAATAAAGAAAATGCTTTCTTTGCTATCTTCTAAGATGTTCCTTAGAAGCCATAAAGACCATGGTTTCTATCCCAGTGTGCTCTCTCTTGCTCACACTTGGATCAACATGAGAGAATGAATATTTATTGATGTGCAAACTTAAAATTTTATTGTTTTGGGGTTTGTTGTGCAGCAATATGTAACTATTGTAAGACTTCTTGGATTAAAGCGGACAATGGGCAAAGAAGGAAGAAAGAGAATTCTAAATAAAATAATGTTATGTGCAGAGGATTCATGCCTGGAGAGACAAAAAAAAAGAGTCTTAACTTTTATTATTATACTTTTCTCACAGAAAGATTTTAGAATCTGTTTTCCTAAGATGAATTATTTTCTTGTGTAAGTAGAACAAAAGGGAAAATAAATTACCATTTTAATAATATGGAATGCAACATGCTTTAAATAGTAAAAAATTTTCTTTCAGTGGGCAGAGACAGCATGGCATCCTCCTAACACATTCTGCCAAATCCTTCTACAATGAGATCTGGAAATCTGAGTGAAACAGATACAAATTATGATCCTGGAACTCTGAGCATCAAATGAGAAAATAAGGAGTTAGATTGAGCACTGACTGGGAAGGTAAATGGAGTGATTTAGTGACTGGGGAGAGAGAAGGGGACAGACTGTCTGAAGCAGGAACATCTTGAATAGAGACACAAATGCTGACGAGGAGGGAAAAAGAAAAACTTTATAGAATCCACACAGTAATAACAACACAGTATACACAGATCAGCAGGAATTCAAGGAAGAGGACATTAATTCTTTACTAGTCAGCCATTTCTAGTGCATGATCACCTCAGCGAATGGATAAGCACCATTATCAATTCAACACCAATGGATCAACAACAGACTGGACAACACATGTTCATCCCAACTACAATTCCTCTTCAAGTCAAAGATCAGCACCCACATTCTCGTCAATTATTCCATGAATACAAAGATATTTGGGTAGCACCTCAGTGCTGCCTTGTTAACTTGCCAGGTTAATAACCAAGGAAACATACCTGTCCCCCTCATATGGATATATTGAAACAAACCAGCACACAATCAACAAATAAAAACATCAATATCAAAATATCTTTGCGACAACACACAACTTCAATTCAAATAAAGAAACAGGACAAGAGCAGGGAAACAAGTGACTAGGAAAAAGAACTAGGAAATTTCTCCATGGAAGAACAGGTAATAGAACTACCTGAAAATAATTAAAAAGACACATATATATAGGAAACCATAAATAGAAGCAACAAAAAGACAGACAATACCCTTGACAAATTCAGGAAAGTCATACAAAAACAAAATGACAAAACAGACAATTAGAAATCATATAAAAACATCAATTAGATATCCAGAAGATGAATATTAAAATTAAGGAGAGAGATAACACATTAGAAAGTCAAAAGAGTAGAATCAAACTGGCTGAAAAACCCATATCCCAGCTAGAAGACAAATCCCTTGACACCACCTTGTATGAGGAAAAATCAGAAAAGAGAATGAAGAGAAATGAAGAAAACCTAAGACTCTTATGGCATGATATCAAAAGAAATAACATATTCCTGATTGGAATTCCAGAACAAAAGTAGGCAGAAAAAAAAAAAAAACAGAGAAAATCATTGAAGACTTCTTTCCACAATATAATGAAAGACAAAAAGATATACATCCAAGAAGCTCAATGAACTCCATCCAGGATAGATCCCAAGAGAAAGTCCCCAAGACATACCAAAATCAAACTTTCCAAAAACAAAGACAAAGAAAGAATCTTGACAGTAGCTCAGGAAAAAGTGAAATGCTACTAACCAAAGGAAACCAGTTAGATGGAGCTCTGATTTTTCAGCAGAAACCATGCAAAAAGAATGCAATAGGATGACATATACAAAATCTTGAAGAAGAAAAAAAAAATGTCAACCAAGAATTATATAGTCAGCAAAACTATCCCTCAACTATGATGGTGAAATTAGAACACTCCCAGATAAACTGATATTAAGGGAATTTGTAAGAACCAGACCAACCCTACAAGAAACACTAAAAGGACTCCTTCCAACAGAAAAACAACTATGGAAGACAACAAACTAAGATTAAGACACGTGACAACACCACTCAGAAGCCAACAAAGGAAAAGAGTTATCAAATCTAAAATGAGCTTACAAAACATAAAATAGAGAACAAGAGGACTAAATCTGGAAATGATACTAATTACAAAACAAATAGAAGGAATAAATGGTAGAATTATAAAACTTTCATATAGAGAGGAAGTCGGAACGATGTCTATATAGAACAGACTGTTTCAAATTTAGGGAGATTAGAATTTACTACAGGGTAACCACAAAGAAAATTAATAAGCCTTCTAACCAAAATAAGAAAGGAGAAATCACAAGGACTTAGTAAACAAGAAAGCAACAATAATGAAGAATAGGGAAAGAAAACCAGATAACAAAATGAACTCAGCACAGAGAAACATTTGCAACAAAGCAACTATCAGCACCACAACAAAAAACATGTAGTATGAATTTATTGCTGTCATTCTTTCATTAACTACACTAAAGGTGACTGGATTAAATCACCAGTCAAGAGAAAGACAGTGGCAGATTGGATAAGAAACTAAGACCTATCAATATAGTGCCTCAAGAGACTCATCTTAGACACTAAGATAATAACAAATTAAAAATCAAGGTATGAGAAAAATGTATATCAAGCTAAATGCAACCAAAAAAAGCAGGAGTGGCAATACTAATTTCTGATAAAATAGACTTTAAGGCAAAATCCAGCATAAGGGATAAGAAGGGTATTGTATGATGATAAAACAGTCAATAGCCCAAGAGGATATAGCAATTGTAAATATTTATGCCACCAATGAAAAAGCTCCAAAACACACAAAGCAAACATTAATTGAATTGAAAGGAGAAATAGACAATACCACAATGGTAATAGGAGAATTTAACATACACCACTTTTGATGAAAGAACTAGGAAAAAACGCAAAGACACAGAAGATCTCAACAATCGAATCAACCCACTTGACCTCATAGATATATACAGAGCAGTCCATCAAACAAAATAAAAATACACATTCTTTTCCAGTGCTTATGGGTCATTCTCCAGAATAGACCATATGCCAGGCCACAAATCAAGCCTCAATAAATTTAAAAACATAAAAATTCTACAAAGCATCTTCTTGGATCACAACAATATGAAGTTGGAAATATACAATAGGAAGACCTGGGGGGGGGGTCAAATACATGGAAACAGTATAATACACTGGGAGCTCTGGTGACGTAGTGTCTAAGGCACTTGACTGCTAACCAGAAGGCTGGCTGTTCAAACCCACCAGCCCCTCCTCAGAAAGATGGTTGGGCAATCTACTTCCATAGGGATACCGCCTTAGAAACCCAAGGAAGGATCACTATGAGTCAGATTTGACTCGATGGCAGTGAGAAAGAACCACTGGATAGCAGGAGAAATAAAATGTGAAACAAAAAAAAATCCTAACCACAAAGCAAATGAAAACACAACATACCAAAGTGAAAACACAGTGAAAGCAGTACTCAGAAGTCAATTTATAGCAATTAGTGCATTCATTAAAAAAGAAGAATCAAAATGAACACCTTAATCCAGCAACTCCAACAATTAGAAAAAGTGCAACAAAAGAAACCTTCAGACTCTAAAAGAAAGGAAATAATGAATATAAGAGCAGAAATAAACTAAACAGAAAAAAACTCAACAAGACTAGAAGTTGGTTCTTCAAAAAGATTAACAAAATCGACAAACACTGGCAAATTTAACTAAGGAAAAGAAAGAGAAGATGCAAATAACATGAGTAATAAATGAAACGGGCAACATCGCAACAGAACTAATCAAAATAAAAAGGATAATAACAGAATACTACAAAGAACTGTACTCCAACAAATTCGTGAAACTAGAAAAAAATAGACAGATTTCTAGAAACACAAGACCTATCTACCTACCTACCTAAACTAGCAGAAAGTGAGGTAGAATATTTGAACAGACCTACAACAAAGGAAGA